CGGGTCAAGATCTTTGATTCCGGGGGCGGCTGTGCTCACCAGTTTGGAGAGAAGGGCGACGCTGCCCAGGACATTCGGTACCCGCTGGACGTCACCGTGACCAACGACTGCCACGTGGTTGTCACCGACGCCGGCGACCGCTCCGTCAAAGTGTTTGATTTTTTTGGTCAGATCAAGCTCGTCATTGGAGGCCAGTTCTCCCTGCCGTGGGGCGTGGACACCACCCCCCAGAACAGGGTCGTGGTGACTGATGCGGAGGCAGGGTCCCTGCACCTCCTGGAAGTGGACTTCCCCGAAGGGGTCCTGCGGGGAGCGGAAAGGTCGCCGGCCCCCCTGCGGAGCCCCCGAGGGGTGGCGGTGTCGCGGCTCACCGGGGCCATCGCGGTCCTCGAGCGCCCCCTGGCGCCGGGGCTCGGGCCCTGCAGCTCCACGGTGACGGTGCTCAGCGCCGGCCTGCAGCTGCTCGGCCGGGTGGACGGCTTTGGGCTGAGCCTCACCTTCCCCTCCCAAATAACCGCCTCCGCTGTGACCTTCGATCACCAGGGGAACGTGATCGTCGCCGATACTTCCAGCCAGGCTGTCCTGTGCTTAGGAAAACCTGAGGAGTTTCCAGTACTGAAGCCCATCGTCACCCATGGTCTCTCCCACCCTGTGGCGCTGACCTTCACCAAGGAGAAATCTCTTCTTGTGCTGGACAGCGCAGCCCATTCTGTAAAAGTCTATAAGGTTGACTGGGGATGATGGGCGTGGGGATGAGAGAGGCCTGGGGCTTGGCATCAGAAGCCCTGAAGCTGACACGAGTGAATTATTTTAGCCCCAGATAAATTACTTCATTGCATCTGCGCAACAGGGATCATTATAACTGCCTGGCAGACTTACAAAGGTTGAGGCAATTATTAAAGAATAGTAATGAAACCTACCATTTATTGAGTATGTACTCCCTGCGCTAAGAAATTTGTGAATATTGGCTCATTTAACCCTTAACAACTACCCAATAAGGTGATTTCTATTATTAATCCCATTTTCCATAGGAGAAAACTGAGACCCAGAGAGCTGAAGTGACTTACCCAAAGTCACCCTTACTTACTGTGACAGTCGCCACTGGAACTCAATTCTGACTCCCAAGCCCCTTTCTCTTAAATAAGATAATAGATGTGTGTGTGGGGGGAAATATGTGAATGCATGTTGTTGCTATATGTACACTATTTACAAGTAGCCATTTATTTTTGTTGNGGGGGAAATATGTGAATGTATGTTGTTGCTATATGTACACTATTTACAAGTAGCCATTTATTTTTGTTGGATGCACAGAATTAGGAGACTTTACAGAGAGTTCAAGAGGAAAAATGTTTTGTATGTGTCAGTTAGTTCAACTTGCAACTCCTCTGATGGCACACTGTGTGGAGTCACTGTGGATCCTGAGTTACTTGACTAAGAAAAGCAATAGAACTGCTTATTCAGAAGGTAAATGTGACTTTTAGTACCTGTAGCCCCCCTGCTGTATAGGCACTCAGGAAATACATTTGGCTGGCCGAGAAAGGCCTGTGTTGCTGTATGTTCTAAACGACTGTAGAACACACTACATTTCCACAACTGTTAGGGGGCTGGATCGTATTCCTGTTACATATTTATGTTAATACAGAGATTAAGTCACCACAATCAGTTCATGGTAAAAATGATTTTGCCTGCCTTTTTATAATCAGTGGTAACCTGAAGCACTTTTGTGATGGCGTTTTACTCTGTGCAATTTAAATTTGCCCCATATGCCCTGGTTGGTGCTGCTCAGTGGTTAGAGTGTCAGCCACGCACCGAAGGGTCATGGGTTCCATTCTCCTGGTCAAGGGCACGTTCCTGGGTTCTGGGTTCAATCCCTCCTCCCAGTCAGGGCTCGTGTATGAGGCAACCAGTCAGTGTGTCTCTCTTACATCAATATTTCTCTTTCACTCTCTCTCTTTCTCTCTCTCTCTCCCCTCCCTCCCTTCCACTCTCTCTGAAAAGCAATGGAAAAAATATCCTCAGGTGAGAATTAACAACAACAAAATTTGCCCCATGTGTTACAAACACTGTTTACTCAAGAAATACTTCCCTTGATCCTAAGTCAGCGTTTAAGCCATTGGTAAACACTGAAACACTTCATGAGTTGAAGTATATATAGCCTTGACCAAGATAACACTTGCTTAACGTTGAGATTGACTCAATGAATGGAAATTTCAGGTGAAGTGGCCAGTTCTTTGTAAGTTGTGCATTTTTAGCCAGTGTAAACATCTCAGAGTTTAGGGCTGTTGGAATAGTACCAAATAACTGGCACCTGAGAAGCAGCAAAAATTTTTTCTCAGGGAGAAAATACTGTTTTTGAAAGGCAAGTGTTTGCTTTGGGTAATAGCTGATGCTTTACCAACTATGGGATTCTGTTATACAAAGAGTTTTAATAGACATACTGTACACACTAGAGACAGTCCCAAAATTATGAGTAAAATATGTTCCAAAAGATTATAAGTTTGTCCTTTGGAGCTAAAAGAGAGAGCTTGCTTCCCCTGCCAAAAAGCCAAAAAGCCCATTTCGCATCCGTGTTCTTACTATGTAACACTAACAGTAAGATTTCCAGCACCCTGGCTCGCCTTTGTCAGTGCATTCCAAGTAGGGATTCTGGGGACAACCCACTTCCCCTACGCTCACCCCACCCATAGAAGTCACCCTTAGGTGGTGACTTCACAGCTATTCTGCACTGTGTACCAAGAAAAGTCTCAGGTGGAGATATAGGTTCAAACTTGGTCATTTGTAAGTAGGGCCACTGTGGATTGATTGATCCTTTAAAAGTTTTCCTTAGGAATAATGACATTTTAATGGCCTCAGGGTCCGTTGAGCCAATTCAAGGGACTTTCTCCTGTTTGGAATCGTCAGTGCCATCATCTTTGGCTCTAGGGCTGTGCTCATGTCTTTTTCAGACAGCACTCGGAAGGAAGGTGTGAACATGCAGCACAAGTGGAGGTATGTGGCCAAGGTATTGCCCGATTCCTGGGGATTGCCCCACCAGAGCCCCTGGGATGGTGTGAGAGCAAATCGGAGAGGTGACAACCAGGGACCTTGTTAACTGCCAACTGTCCTTGGGAGTGGGCGAGGCAGGATTTGCAACATTAAGAGATAGCAGCTCTTGCCAGGAATGGCATGGGGGGGGGGTGCAGACAGGGTTTCCCTGGGNGCCAGGAATGGCATGGGGGGGGGTCAGACAGGGTTTCCCTGGGGAAGATGCAAAGCTGGCTGGCTGTTCACCATCTCCTGAGATAGCAGGAAGAGATCATTGCAGCAGAAAGTAAAAGGTTCCAAGGTGATGGAGGAGAGTTGGAGTGACTCCCAGAGACAGGAGACAAAAAGTTATGACCAACAGTAAATGTGGAAGAAAGCCTCTTCCTGAATGTCTCCCTCAATCACGTGCCTTAGGCCAACGCTACTCACCATGTGCCACCTGCTGCGTCCATAAAAGCAAGTGCTGTCCCGTCTCAGGAGTCCTCACTTCACCTTCCATCTGTTCCAGTGTTGCCCAGTTCCTGATCCTTGGATTGTCTCCTTTTTTCACCCTTGTTCTGCCCTCTGAATTTGCCACCTGAACTTGGTTTTCTTAATTTCTTTCCTCAACATTTTTTAAGGACTTTGGTTCAGATTCATAGATCTCCCCTCTAGCAAGTCTCACTCAGGACCGAAGGATTACCATTTTGCTGGGGCCTTATCTAGACCTTTCCTGGCCCCTCATTAAATGGGATGCAGACCCCACCCAAAGTGAATAATACACCTTTGGAGGAACAAGCAGAATATTCTGTGCATCTCACAAAAATTAACAAGAACCACTAATGATCACGGATTAAATCATCTTTACACCTGCCACAGAAAGAAGATACGTATATTGGTGGTTAGTGCTTCACTAATGGTGATACACTGTGGTGGTCTATCATGGCTAATGAGGAGATGGTCTATTTTCTTGACGACTATGTAGAAAATATGACAGGAAGGCTTCCAACACTCACCACAACCACCACACTAAACAATCACGGAGTCTGCTGAGCCCACAGCTGCTTCTGCGGAAAACTGCCCCTCCCACAGGCCTGCGGACCAGCCTGCCCTCAGCAGCATATTTTCTATTGCATGATCCGCTCCAGCAACAGCTGATTGGATAGGAGTGCCCACCTAACTAAGCAACAGCCTACGAATCAATGTCCCATCAAATACATCAATTAGACCACGACTGGCCTATGAATTGGCCTGGGATAAACAGGTTTCCCCAGAAAGGGGCAAAGAGATCGAATCACAGTCATGTGCCACCTACTGACGGATGTCCATCCTAAGAAAGGCGTTGGTAGGCTGTTCCGTTGGGGTGTGACCGTCGCAGAGCGCACTTACACAAACCCAGACGGTGTGGCCTCCTACTGGAATTGTACGTGCGATACTTTCACACGACAGGCAGTGCAGTATGTCTGTTTACACCAGCACCAACACAAACAAGTGAAAAATGTGTTGCGCTATGATGTATGACAGTTACGACATCACCAGGCGATAGGAATGTTTTCGCTTCATTATAATCTTATGGGACCACCGCATATATGCAGTCCATCTGTGACCAAAACGTTATGCGGAGCATGACTGTAGGTTCTTGTCCCTGAAATTCTGAATTGAGAAATATGGAGCAAATCAGGCAGATGGCAGCCTGGGGGGAGCGCTGAAAGCAGGCTCAGAAGGGCACAGAGCAGCTCGGAGCAAGCCAAAGTCACCAAATGAGAAGAAGCTGTGCGGCAGAGGAAGGGGAACCACTATGAAGGATCCAGGTAAGACTGGAAGGAGAAAATGCACCCCGAGAAGCTAATCTGTACAAGTTTGGTTTTTTGCAACAGAAAGAGCGTAACAAAAACGACACTGTGTTGTTGATTTGTTTGGAGAAAATTAAACTTAAACCTGTGGATTTTGATGCCATGAGTAAGAAACTCATTCTGAGAGATTCAGCACACTCCCATCAGCACATTCACCCCTCATCCTGGTGGGGCCTGATACCAGGATCTAAGCAGAGGCCCACGTACCAAAGGTCTAAATATCTGAGTTATCATTCAAGCCATCGAGCTGTTAAACAAAATATATTCAGTCCTTCCACCTTGATGACTGTAAATGTAAAAGTTAAAAGTATCCTTTCATTGTGATCTGGAAGGCCAGGCTCCGTTTAGAATACTAGGGTGAAGTTTTGCCCAACTTTGGGGTGCCAACGTTTTAAGAAAGATTATGATGGGCTGGGGTATGTTTAAAAAGTCTGAAGAAGAGCCTAAAATGCATGTTTTTTGTCAGCCTCTAATAACTAGAATGCTGAAAGCATGCTCCTTTAGAGGGGCACAGAGCAGCTGTGAGCCAGCCACAGTCACGAATGAGAAGCAGCTTTGTGGCCGAGAAAAGATAACCACTATGAAGGCCAAGGTGTTTGTGCTATTTACAGCCATATCCCCAGTGCCTACAACACTGCCTGACACATCATAGGCATTCAGAAATATTTGCTGAGTTACTCTATGTTTTTCCCAAAGACTTTTTCTAGACGATGCATGCCTTTCACTAGAAGGGAAGTGCTGTTGGTAGCTGGGTAGTTTGGGGAAGCTGGTCTAGAATGAAAACAATTTGTGGTGGGCTTGCTGAGTGACTTGGAGAGAGCACAAAAGCATTATGGTGACTTTGTGGTAGCCTGGGTTAGGGTTGGGTGAAGAACTTCATGTTCTTAGTCACCACATTTCCAATTCACCAAGCACATGGGACCTTGAGGTATGAGCGTTGCCTGAGTTTTCATGAGTCACGTCTTTGT